CAGATTTAATTAATTCCTTCGTATAGTCCATTTCACAAGCTTACATTTATTACAAAATGGCATTACTAATAAACGTACTATTTATGCATGTATAACTAATGGGAGGGGGAGATTTAGGACATAATTAACCCGAGGTTGACAACAAAAACTAAATTAAGGAATGAGAGGTTTAGGGGAAAAGAGAGTTTTTAATTCCTTTCTCTCGTAATCCATTGTTTTTACATCATAAAACCTGCTTATTAAATTGAGGGATGATTTTGCCTCCAATTCTTCTTTTTGTTTTCCCGCTCAAAATCAAAATACCTTGAATAATTAGATTTGTATCTTTGCTAGGATTTGTGGGCACGGGTGTCAAATAACAAGACAAAGGGTTTAATTTTATCAGAAAGCAAAGCTAAAAATGGAACAACTTTGAACCGGAACGCAGAAAGTAAAACCAAACCCGCACGTATTGAAAATGTGCACAGAACCACATTATTGTAAAGGAGAATGCATGATATTGCATGTGATATGATATGACCACTTTTTTTTTTCTTTTTTTTTTTACTGAGGAGGCTTATCTGCCTACAGTACATCATTGCACCATATATGATATGATATGGCCCTCTTATTAATAGTCACAGATCTACTTTCACAGCAAATGAGGCACTTGTCTTGGACAAAACAAGATTTTGAAAGGATAACTTTTACGGGGAAGTTTTTATGTTCATGTTATTGTTCCACTTTCAATCAAGCTAAATTTGGGTCTTTAAGTTTCATCACGTTTAATTTTCCAACAAACAATACAATTTTATATCACGCTCTTTGCAATTACCCATCTGTACCGGCTAGTTTCACCCTCCCCTAACCTCCACGACGATGGGAGAAGGGGGACCGACTCCGTGGAGCACCGCGGAGAACTCGACAACAAAGAAAGTGAAGAATAAGTATCAACTAGGTTCTGGACCTGTGCCGCGGGTTTAACTTTTTCAATCAATATCTTTTCTTCATTTCTAATCAATTTTAAATAAAGAAGAAAACTGAAAGTATCATGTTATTTTATCGTATCAATATAACTTTTCTTATTATACAAAATTGTAGACAACTACATACATCAAATTTCTGTATATAAACTATAGTTGAGACTAATTATAAAAGGCACTGGAGAAAAAAGATGTCCGTTAAAGAATTAACTTAGATATAATTTACCCTCCAAGAAAATGTACTATGAAATGACTTGACAGTTTACGATATGTTAGTCTAAGCAAGAATAGTTATTCTACAAGATCTTGCATTTAATTTATTTACCACTATTATAATAAGAAGAATAAAATATGGAAAGCTGAAATGTTAATAATCAACTTTCAAAAAAGGGGGCAGCGATTGAAAAAATCTCGATGATCTTATTTGCAAAAATTCCTAATAGTAGCCCAGTGGAAGTTTTGTTCCCTGCTATAGTTATCAACCACAGAGATGAAATTGATGAATACATTAGTGCACTTTGCAAGGTAACATTTTCAGTATTTGTATCCTGATATGGCATAGACTTCCATTGCAGAAGCAGATTATCATTTTTGCCAACCAAAGTTAAGTGAGAAATAAATGACATCTAATATCACAAAAGAGAACCTAAAATCTGCACACATAAGTGTTTCACGTGGGTCACAACTACAATATACCTAAGTCTTGTAATACAGTTAGTAAGATACTGTAGTTATACGAATGGTCATTAGCATGGATTTTGTTCGTAGACGCTAAGTAAAACGCACCTTAAAATGAAGTACAATCGGCAAATCCATTCCATTCAAATTTCACTCTAACAGAAAATTATACTACTCACAAAGATACATGAATTAAATTACATGATCCCCCACAGTTCGAATTTTACCTCTAAATTTCCTTTGCCCGTGCAGCAAAACCAATCATTTTCATGATGTCAGCGCTGTTAAAATACAGAGTCAAAAATAAGTTTGAATTTGCTTTTGCATCAGAATAGAAAGTTTTATCAAATAATATATGAATTGGAAATTGGAACACTTCCGTATACTTATGGAACATCCAAACTAACAAAATTGTTTCTCTTTTGTTTTTAGATCTTGAAGTAGACTTATTGTCGCCGAAAAATAGGTCTGATCTGAGGGCCAACGGGGTGTGATTCAAAGTTGCCGAAAAATAGGTCTTATTTCACCCTCCCCTAACCTCCACGACGATGGAGGAAGGGGGACCGACTCTGATGGAACACGATGCGGAGAACTCGACAACAGAGAAAGTGAAGAATAAGTATCAATTGGAGGCAAAACCTCCAGGACCACCTCAACCTGAAGAACACCCATCATCACCCACAATGTCACACTTGACCGGAGAAAAGCCTTCCTTTAGGGACTCCCTTTTAAACGGCCAGAAGCCACATTCAACCAAAGGCCTCCATCTGGAAGCTGTAACCACTGAGCCTGGAGAAGTCACATACTCAATTGAGGAAGGCATGCCTGCAATTGAATTCGCTGACCGGGTCAAGCAGAGAATGGAGCGGGCGATGTCATACTCCATTGTAGTGCGTCCTCTAGGAAGAAACTTTAGCTTCTTTGCAATCCGAAAGAGGTGTACGAGTCTGTGGAAGCCCAAGGGAGATATTCACCTAGTGAATTTGATCGATGGCTATCATGTGATTAGATTGACCCATGAAGAATACTACCATAACGCCCTATTGAATGGCCCTTGGTCCATAGTCGATCACTACATCACTGTTCTTCCCTGAAAATTAACCTTTGATCCTAAGGCGGAGAACATCTCAGCAGTAGCGGCATGGGTACGGATACTTGGTCTCCCGGTTCACTACTTCCGGGAGGCTCTCCTGAGAGACATTGCTAAGCCACTGGGCAGATATCTAAAAGCAGACCAGAATACACTTTTGGCTGAAAGAGGTAGATACGCGAGGATTCCAATCGACCTGGATCTCACGAAGCCCTTGGTTAGCAAAGTGAAGGTGGACCGGAAAGTCTACACGGTTGAATATGAGGATCTCCGCCGCATCTGCTTCACATGTGCATATTGAAATATACTATTTCCTTCGAAAAACATAAATGAGTTTTCAAATTTATATTATATTTAAATATAAATTAATCTCTAAATTCAATGTGCACTAATTTGAGAGAGAGTAATAACTAGCAGAGAATGGAAACAAAAAACCAAATTAAGGAAGAAGAGATGTAGGGGAAAAAGATAGAGAGTTTAGATTTAATTATCTTTCACAATCCATTAAAAATCGTTAGCACCGCATAAAATCATTCCTCTTAGAGTAGCTGTTAATACGAATAAGAGGAACTCTGTTATAGCCATTTATGTACATTCAATATTCTCTAAGGATAGAGTGGCTGCCGTTGCCGGGAATTTCGCCGCCGTTGCCGTTACCGTTGCGACCCCTGAGTTTCGCAAGCATCTCGGGCCTGGAAAACAAGATTGAACAGATTAGAATCAGAATATAGGACTGCCTAAGTCCCAAAAGGGGAAAATCAAAACAATTTTTTTTTTATTTAGAAAAAAAAAGCATATAAATTTAGTCTTACAGAATTGGGTCATCACGAAAGACGGTCAAGTCCATAACTTTGGCGAAGAAAATACGGCCGGCGGCATAACAGGCAAATTGCACGATAGCCAAGGCAAGCGGAGAAAGAGATGACATCGTGAGAGAGATGCAGATGGAGACCAAACAGGAATTAGGTACTGATTTCTGAACCGGAGGAGAAACTCGTTTCTGATTTTTGTAAATATTAAATTTGTGTCTCATTAAATTAGATCTGTCGTTTGTTTTATAGGGGATATGTGGTCTTGCGGACTACTGAAAATCGTTATGTTATAATTGAGGAACGCAATCAGATCCGGATGAGTGGGCTTTGGGCTTGCGATTGGACCATTAACTTGGGCCTCAAGTACTTGTAACCGTGATAAGGACAATGTTAATTTTGGGTATTACGGGGTTGTTATGAACTAAAAGAATCTAAACCAGCATCCAAACATATCGAGACCTCTTCATGATTGAGCAAATCAACGGTGACTTCTTCTTCCCATTAACCTTAGTATTTGCTACAATTGAGACCTCTGAAAAGCTTTGCCTTTGATATTCTTATACTCATGATTGAGAAATGCACACGTCCTTCCAACTCAAACTCAACTACACATACGACATGTGGTTATGTGTTGAGCGGCACCAGAATACACAGCGCGGCAGTGAGAAACAGGATGTAATAGGCACGATATATAGTCTATGTTTGCTTTTGAGATTTGGACTAAAACCCGTATAAATCTCAAAACTTAAAATGAACTATTTTTATGTGACGGAGGGAATATCTTTTATCATTCGTGTGGTTAACGCATTAGATTAGTGTCCATTGTCAAGTGTAATATGTCAACCCTAAGGGAAAAGGTCGATGAAGTTCATATTTAAGAATACCAATTGTTGCAGGAAAAAAATATACATTAAATGAATAATAATCGTTCATAGTTAAACCTTACATTTACGTGTTTGTCCTTAAATTATATTTAATGGGGAAGCGAGCAGTTTAATTACAAAAGTCCCCAATACTGCTACATTGACGTTGATACTCAAAATCTAAGCTAATTACAAATTTTTAAGGGAACTGTTGAAGATTATGGCTACTTACAGGATGAAAATTCAAATTTTGCTAAACCATGCGCAAGCATATTAGCTAGTTTTTGAGGTGAGCCTACCAACAATCATCGTGATATTCTTCAGTTTATTATAGGCTCTATATTCTCGAGTAGCCCTTACTAATAATAACTGATAAGCCCAATGATAAAGCCCAAATCTAAACTGGCGGCAGTTAAATTAAGAAGGTGGACGCGTCATCACGAAAATAAAATAAAAGGCAAAACATTAAATTCAGATTCAGAGTGTGTGTTTTTCCGCTCATTTTATTCTTCGCCAACTCTTATTCAAAATCAAAGAAACCAGCCTCCTTTCAAAAACAAGACAAACACCCCCTTTCCCTGCTGATTCGCTGATAATGTCTGTTCCTCCTGCCGTCGCTGCCGGCGCCGCCTCCTCCGGTGGTGGGAATATCGTCGGCGGGGCTTTCAATCTTGACTTGAACCTGAATCTCAGTCTGAACACTCCATCACTTTCGGGTGCTCAATCGGAACCTCCATTACCACAACCTCAAAAATCAGCCCATAATTCGTCAGCTCAAACTCATTCTGGCCCATCTCCCCATAATATGCCTCCGCCCCCAATTTCTTCCTGCGTTCCGGTGAGTCTCTGCCTTTTTTATTTTGTATTTTAAGCGGCTTCATGGAAGTTTACTGTTTAATTATTCACGAATTTGGTTTTTTTTTTTTTTCCTCGAGATAAAAGGGTGTTTTCTGTTTGGGTGAATGTGTGTGATCCAAGGGGACAGAGTATTTGAGGGTTTTAGTTTTAAGTTTTTGAATCAGAAACGGGTGGGTTAATTTGGTATCTAATTTAGCATTTGTTTTGGGGCTTCAATCGCTGCGTTTCTGTGTTTTTTCTAGTCAGATAGTTGTGGTATGTTACTGTTTTCAAAGATGTATGGTCGAAATTTTTCGAAATTTTTGGGACTAACAGAAATGTGTACATGGTTCGCTCTTGTATTCTTTAAGAAACTTTTCCATATTATCTGAGCCTTCTTTAGAATTGGTGCTAATTGGAAGTTTGGAACTCCTGAACTACATCATAGTTGATTAGGAATCGTCATTAATATTGATGACATTTTGATTATTGTAGTTCACTGATTTCACTAATTGCAAATGTCTTTCTGATCTTGTCTTCAAGTTCAAAAAGGAGTACAGTAAAGGTGCAAATGCGGCTGAGTCAGTTGATAATTCTGCTGGGACTTGTACTGATGCTTCACACAAACGAATACCTTCTGGAGCTAAACGTGGCCCTAAAGGCCCGAGAGGTTCAAAACGTGCCAAACTGGGAACATTGGAACCAAATGGAGGTTAGTTTCACATGACTTGTACATAATCCTCAATTGTACTGTTGAATGTTGATGTTATTTGGCTTGCAATAAAGGTTAATGTTTATCTTCTGCCTTGCAGAGGTTCTTCACAATTTGGCCCTAGCTGGTAGCTGTCGATATGATAGCTCTTTAGGTAGAAAAATTTACGTTTCATCAGATTTTAAAAAACTCTTTCTCTGTATGAAGATCTCTAAAAGTGGCTGCATCTTGTCATTTGGCAGGTTTGTTGACGAAAAAGTTTGTAAATTTGATGCGAGAAGCCAAGGATGGAAGCCTTGATCTTAACCAAGCTGCAGAAGTTCTAGATGTAAGAGAAAACTATGTGTTTTAATAGAGCATCATACCAATCGGTCACAGGTTGAGTTGTTGGTGTTATTGTTGTACTTTGTTAGTGTTTGAATAAGAATAATAGTTAGTGATGCTAATTAGAACTAGTTATCTATCTTTTCGTTCATCTATTTTTGGATTATGATAATTTGCCACTTTCAGGTTCAAAAGAGAAGAATATATGATATTACAAATGTCCTTGAAGGAATAGGATTCATTGAGAAAGCATCAAAGAGTCACATAACTTGGAAGTGAGTTTTCTTGACCCTGCTATCTATTCTGTTCATCAATCTTTTTTGCTTATGAGTGAATTATGACAGTAGCTTATAACTATCAGAGGATCTGGGATGCTTGGACTACTGATGGATGATCCAGTCAGCAAGCAGAAGGTGTTATGCGGTCTAAATTTTTTGTTTTCCAACTGCTTATTGGGTGAACCTTTGAAAATGCCATTTCAACCTATGCAGTGCTGGGCATAAGTAGTCGCACTTTAGTCTAAAGTTTGCCAATATAGTCTGCTTTATGAAAAAAGAGAACATAACAGTAGCTACAATCTTGAACTATATGTTAAACGCAGGAGAACTGTTTCTGAGGTTGGGAAAGGGGCGTTTAGCCCAGATTGGTGCTTAAGACTTAAGAAGCGTAATAGGTTTTTTTTTTTTTTTAATAGCTTATATGAAAGGAGCAAAAAGAAGAAATTCTCTAATCCAAAGCTTGTGGTGGTAGTATCTTTCAAGGATGTTTGTGGTAAGTATTTGATGATATACTGAGGTTTAGTGTTTTGTGGCAGGTGGAAAATGAGAATTTATATGCTTTAGAATGGAGGCTCGATAACCGCATAAGGTACATTAATGACATTATGCAAGACTAAATGCTATTCACGTAGGGATAAAAGGTTAGACTAACATCATATCTTGCAGGGAAATGCATGAGAAGATTCTTGCGCTGGAAAATGCTGGAACTTCTCAAAGGTAGTACAGTGCTGTTCTTCTCAATGCTGCTGTTTCCTTTTATGTGATTACTATTTACAGTAGCTGTTTTTCCTGGTTTAGGACCCTTTATTTAACGGAGGAAGACATTACGAGCGTGCCAGGTTTCAGGGTTCGTTTTTTATGTTTATGACTTTGTTGCAATTTTCTTTTCTTACCCCTATATATTTGACAAGTATATTTTTCTCCTTCACTTCACAGAATAAAACCCTTATTGCTATTAACGCCCCCCGTGCTAGTACTGTTGAAGTCCCTGATCCTAATGATGTAAGTAGCTTGAACTAACATGTTCTGAGGTACAGAGCATAACAACTATTTTCATTGACCTGAAACAATTCGGTTGTTCATCTTGACAGGAATATGGATTCCCAGAAAAGCAGTATAAACTTATCGTGAGAAGCACTACAGGACCTATTAATTTGTTTCTCTTAAGGTATCTCTCCTTGCTTTAAAAACTATTATAAATTTGTAACTACTTTCTAAAGTACCTTTTGTGGCATTTATTCATTGATGACTTTCAGTCTAATGACAAAAATTCTTCTAATTTTCAAGCCAGCAAATAGATCACAGAAAGTAACTAAAAATTTTTAGCAATGAGCATCTTCGGATGTTCTTGAAGGGACACTATTGAGTGTATTATTACTTGTGGAGAAACTATTACTGCGATGAAATGCTGCTTCTATCTTATGCTTTTGCTTGAATGAACTCTTACACTTTAGCCAAAGTCAAGATCACGATGAGAAAGTAACAGTCAAGCGAAGGAAATTATTAGATTCAACAGCTATCCAAGGGGTTGACAATGCGGATGATGCAGTTTTGCAAACTTCTTGCACACCTGGCGTTCACAAAATAATCCCATCCCTTGGAGATGTAAGTTTACTAATCAATATAAATCTCTTTTAAACAATTGCAGTAGCATAGAGCTGCTAAGTAAGTTTTACTGGACTGATGCTGTGCCTGCTTGTATTTGCAGTCAGAAGATGACTACTGGTTGCGATCTGATAATGAGGTTACTGCAACAGATCTGTGGGGGTAGAGAAAGTTCTTAGCTAACACCTACAACACGCTGCGAGTAATTCATAGAAGAACAAAAATATCAACCAACTTGGATATGTACAGCGCCATACAGTTTTATGTTAAGATTTGAAGCTAAGTAATTAGCAATAACATTAGAGTTATAACTTTAGGTTGATTATATCATAGTTATAACTGATAGTTTTGTCCCCAAGGCTTTTTCCATAAATGTAACTTCGTTTTGGAGGGGAGATACTGATAATAAATCAAATGAGAGAAAAGTATACCAGTCTGATTAATTCTATAATATCAAGCGCCTCGTTAATGATACCATATCAATTGTTTTTAGATTTTCCTTCTCATTTCAATCTCTTTTCTCACATGATAAAGAAAATTGATATCTTCAATTTAACTCTCTGAGAGTTGGTATAAAGTATCAACAAAAAACCATTCACCCACTATCTTTAGTTTATTGTTACAACACCAATCAACTTAAGTAAAAAGGAAAACAAACAGGAACAGATAAAAATCACTAATTAACTGATCCCCTTGTAAGGGGAAAAAAAAAAAACAAAATCTGATCCCCTTGTTTTTTTAAAATTGCCACCCCTCTAAACTGCCACAACATGATTAGTAAATTTCCACTTCTCAGGTATAGGAAGTTGGTAACTGTAAAGATTGCTGGAAAGCATAACAGCTTTGTCATATTGCCCCTGCTCATGGTTCAAAGCTGCTATTACCTACCCCAATCAGCATCATTCTTTCATAGCAATAGCATGTTCCTAAAATTAGCGGCAACAAGAAATTAATGGAGAAATTTAGCCAACAGGTAGAGAACCAAAACAAACTGTTCATGTACAAATTTTCATCATTTCTTGCATCTATTCCCTATGTAATCACATGTTCGTAAACTAAGACAATGCGAACCCACACCACCCCCACTGTTCAGCGAACTGTAGTAGATCGTGTTTTCCTCAACCTGGCACGTGTTACCACAACCGTATCTTCCATCATTATCTCTGGTGGTTGGGAAGGTTTTGCATTTTCTGATGTGGAAGAAGGAACCGAATCGACTACCAGTACTTCTTTATCATTTGAGGTAGAAGCTTTAATAGTTTCAGAAACAGATTGTGTTGCTGTTGTTTTCAGTGCTTTTGAGGTATCTGTTGGCTCTTGCGGGGGCCCCACCTCTTCTACAGCATCATCTGATTTTTCACTTGAAGACATACTAGAAGATGGGGAATGAGGCTCTTCAACCGGAGGAAGTGCTGTTGTAGCAGCTCGTTTGCGACCTTCTGATGAAGTGGTCGGCTGAACCCTACCAGCTTCTTGCTGAGTTGGTTGCTGTTCCAAATTTACCGAAGCATTAAGTAGGAGAAAATTTCATAGCGAAAAATTAAATTTCTGTAATGATTACTATACCTTGTTACTTGACCTAATTTGATTTTAGAAACAAGACTACTTTCATGGGAGTGAGACTAAGAGAGAGTATGCCACTTAATCCACCCCACATAAATTACTTTGTTAGGATCTATTCAAGGTTCATCCTGTTCCAACACTGACCATTTAAGAAACCTCCAACTCCAACCAACCAGTTAATTGAGCTTCAGGGACTGGTCATTCTTAAAACAACATGTGGTTTTCCTCAAATTGTAAAAAGCATTCAACGATATTCGTGATCCTTGAAGAAATAGCATGCCACATGAGCATGTTAAACTCATGCAGAATGACAATTAGTTCACTAGGGGGCTCAACTTGGTCCTTGAAATGAAAAGAACTGATAACATCAATTAAATTGCTCCTACATTTATGGTATACCTGAACAGGCCGGGGAGGAGGAGTTGATTGTGAAGCAATGTACTGCAAAATATCAAAAATTCTAGTCTGACCATAGCTGAGAGCTTTTTGCCAGTACAAAACAGCCATATCACCAGCTCTTATCCTCAGTTCCAACAAGCTGCGGTCTATTTCTGGTTCATGTTCAGAGACTAGTGGCTTAAAGAAGGACTCATAAACATAGGTGGTTCCCTGAAAGTTTCAGCAGCAAAAGACAATTAAGAAACCTAGTCGCAAATACATCTTAAAAGTTAGGTAAAAAATGCAGAAGTGAAAGTATAGACCTTAGTCTTGGGGAACCACAAGTATATAAAGAATGCCAACTTTGCTTCACTGTACATTGGAACCCTTCAGGAGAGAAAAAAATAAATAAATAAATAAGTGGAGAAAAATAGTGAGTTATTGCAGAAGGGAAAGATAAAAAGTGTGTTCCCAAATGATTTCACAGAATACTTACCATGAAATAAAAGTATCGCCAACCCTCTCACAAACTGTCAACATGGCAACCAATATCCTAAAAGTAAAGAAAAAGTTCAAAAAAAATATTTTTGGCAAACAAACTTCAATGGGCACGAACAGGACAGACACAATACCAGTATTGGCACCAAAAACGTAGTTGCTCGATATCAGGTTTGTTCATTTCCACAGTTTTATAGCATTCATAAGCAGGATAAGCATAGCCAAAGACCATCCTGCATAAGAAGATGAAAAGAATGAGCGGCTTAGGAAAATGTAAAAGGGTATCGAATTAAGTTTTCCTGAACAAAAGGAGCGCGATACATACACAAGTCCTCTGGTGAGAAAAGATCCAATCATCTTGCTTTCCTAATTGAAAGGCATAAAAAACCGTGTAAATACAAATGCAAACATTTGGAACCAAAAATCATCAGCCTCGATGAATTGAAACAACAACTACATTACACAAAATTTAGGGGAACAAAAAAAACATAAATGCAGAGAAAGAAAGAGACAGACAAAAAACACATCAGTTGAGGAAACAAAACAAACATTGTGAACAAGTGGAGTTAAACTTTTGTGTTAAAATTTAACATCGCCCCCGAGAAATGAGATTTTTCCTTTTAAGTACCTGATGGCCACAACTTCAAAGACAGTAAAATTGAAACTGAACCCGTGAAAGTCCTACAACTAAAATCAATAGGGAAACGAGAGTGAAAATCCTTAAAACTCTCCGGTCGGTAGATCTCAAATAATTAGAATAAAATGGTTTCTTCGCTCCATAACCTAATCCGCCCACACTATCATGAATAAAGAAAAACTCAGAAATTCCACAATAGCTCATCTATCTCTCAGGTATCTAACATTTCAATTGCTACTTAGTAAATCTTTTTAAAATCAACATACCAACACAAGACGACCAAAAAATGAATTTCACAGAATGTATGACGGAACAAGCAATTTATCAGTTTTATTGAGTTAAATTATTCCTTTTCATAGTGCTCACTGACCACTACTTCACACTAGTTCAGGAAACCTCTGATAATTAGCAGGAAACAAACACAAACTCATACGTGTATTTTGGACAAACAGAAGCCACACGAAACAAACAATAAACATCACATTAAAAATCTAAACAAGAAGAATATATGATTTCCTCGAACAAAAAATGACGAAAGATAGTTCTATTCACTGATAATCAACCGATGAACTTAAAACTTAAGTTAACGATTCGATCAAAATAAAAGCTATCCTTCAAAATCTTCCGAAGGAAATAGGGAAAATTTTACCTCAAAGAAAAAATGGAGAATGACCGTTCAATAAGCGGAGAAGATAATACAGAAGAGATTCGGTCGGACTGTCAGAAGAAAGAGGAGCGCCGACGCCGTTCGACGGCGAACCGTTGTGAAGTCGGCGGGGACGGGAGGGGCTTTTTTTTCGTCGAAGAAATAAAAATCCTCTTTTATTTTTAACTCTACTTTGCTGGCCTTTTAAATACCTTAGTCCATGTATTAGAGTGGTGAAAATAAAATGTGCAAAGGAGCACGAATGTTGGGGTGAGGCCTCACGAAAAACTGGTTTAATCTATTTCCCGATTGGGTTAGGGATGTGGATAGGTCTTTGATCTATGATGGAGTACCTTACTTTTTGTGGACCAGCGCGTAATGTATTTCATCCTGTCTCGGTTTTATTAACTGAATCGTGTTAACGTCACGTACGGGGCACAGACAACAGTCATTCCGCACGTTGCAAGTTTACAGTTTTGACCTTGCATCGTTTCCCTTTTTTCTTTTCTTTTGTTTTTTACATCTCCATTGTTTTTTTTTTTTTCCGAAACAAGACTCTATTGTATGCAAATATACGAACTTCCAAAATGTAAAATGTTAGCAACCACTAGAAAGATTATTTTTTGCAACAGATATAATGGCAATAAGTTTAAAATAAATTTCTACAAGATCCATCAGAAAATTTGAAAGTATTAAATCCATATCCGCAACCGATTTTCAATGTATAGCTATTACTTATGTGTATTCTACTATTACTGTACTTCATGTCAATTAAAAATTGAAAAGAATGTTTTGAAAATGATCTCTAAAAGCGGAGAGTAGAAATCCGAAAACAGAAAAGAATAATCCAATTCAGTTATATTTTGTTTTAAGTAATCTAAAACATGAATTAATCTTTAACCAGATTGTGCACGTGCATTCTTCATGATTCTCTTTTCTTAGATGTTTGATAGTGAGCAAGTGTAAATATGTCACATTTGTTTTTGGTTATGCTGCGCTATCCAACTTTGTTAGATATACATTAGAACAATGTCATTAATTTTCAAAAGATAAAAAGAACTTGCAAAAGCTGGAACTTGGAGGAATATGGAGGTCAATTTGGTCATTAGATGCGAGAAGTGAAAATGGCAGTGATCACAGCTCAGTGACGTTGTAGAATTGTGAGTTGCAAAGTATAAAGTTAAAAGGGGGAATCGGTTTGTTGCCGTTGCTGGTGCAAAGGGGTAAGGTACCATTTTTGGTTTGGTATCTAATCCATATGGGATAACGGGCAAAGTCCCCAAAGTATAAACATATTACCATATGGCCCACTCCTACACCAAATGACACTTAAAATTACTCTTTTTTAAGGACTTTTATTGTTATACATTTACGGAGTCTATAAGAAAGAGATGATTAACTTGGTAAGAAATCAACTCCATGCAAGAAGCCAGGAAGTAATAAACAGAATCAAATTTGATGCTTTTCGTCAAACTGGTTAATTACAAATGTATGTATTACTTTTACACTTTACAGTCATGCACTACAAGTAGCTTAGTAGTTAACTTTTTTCAGGAATAGTTCTGAATAAATTACCTACTCCTTAAAAGCATCTGATTATAAAAATATGAATTATTAAGAACAAAATGTGGCCATGTTCGGAGACTTTAATGAATTCCCCCAAGTTCTTATTTTGGGTTGCTTCTCCAGTTTAGTTGTGAATTGAATTAGACTTCCTTTTGCCCAGAATTTTTGGCTGCTTTGGAAATGTACGTGTGAATTTAAGGTTGCTAGATACTCTCTCCATTTAAAAATGTAAGTTATTTTAAGTTTCGAGAAATATTTCAAAATGTAAGTCGTTTTAAGATTTCAAAACAAATTAATGATGAATTTATCAATTTTGTCCTCAATGAATAATACTACTACTAACCATTTCTTTCTAGTCTGGTTATAATTTCAAAATAATTAATGATAAGTAAAATAGATATTTGATACATAAATTAACTGTTAAATGATTATTTTTTTAATTTACGTGCATAATGTAAAATTACTTATATTTTGAAATGGAATGAGTAACTATGACGGTTTCTTAACTACTCACAGTTGTATGTATGACATGAGAACCTTAAACACAAGAACTCATTAGGATGGAACTTCTTGTGTTACGGGAATAGGCCTTAACATTATTCTTTCAAGAGTTGAGAATGACTCCGTTTTAGTATTATTCTTTTAGTATCCTTTTGTGAAAAGAAGTTATAATAAAGCTTACAGAAAGTGATCGATCAAGTAGAGTGTAATAAAGAAAATTGGGAAGGGGAAAAAAAGGAGGCCTAGATAGGTACTATACAGTACACAAAGAGGCTGGCCTAAAAAAAGACTACTTAAAATTAACCAATGGTAAGACCAATATTTACAGTGGCTCAAATTATTGTGGAGATTCAATGAGTCTTCACCATCCTAAGCCAAAACCTACATTACCATGACTAACATCCCGATTTTGCTCGTTTGTACAAATGCAGTGAACTTTTTTTTAAAGCAAACATGGAATTAAAGGAAGCGGAGACTGGAGATCAGTTTTGTTTTACCAAAAAGCCTTGGATTCTAAGTTTCTCAACGGGAAATTCCAGATGTCCATGGAGAGAGGGACTGAAAATTAAAAAAGCCATGATAAAGCTTCCTTGGATTAATTCAAGTTCAACGAAGAAGGATTGGGGTCACTCTCTCTCTCACATGGCTTCTAATGATGTTGATTCCCAATGGTTTGGTGGAGCGTCACTCTCCCAACCACTCTTGCTCTTCAAAAAATTCAACCCAAATTTCATCATGTTTGCTACAAATAATACTAGTTCGTAATGAGTCCACCATATTGACCTTTATTATATGCTTGTTTACCTCAATTTCTTCAAACAACTTTGGATCAAGAAAATCGTTTTTGTCCCGTTTCTAGTCAATTACTGGGTATCATAAAAAATTTTCTTTTTTACGTAACAGTATTTCTTTTATGTAATTAGTGTGTTTCGAAAAAAAAAAAAAACAAAAACAAAAAACAAACTAAGTTAGTTCGAACATGTGCCTATCATAAAATGACAATTAATGAATGAATCACCTTTGAAATACTTTCTTTTTCTAAATCTAGTCCTAGTTTGGAACATCCAAATCGAAACTAGCAAACCATTGATCATCCTCTCGTCATCTTTTACTTCAAAATCATTGCTTACCGACATTATCCTTGGTCAACCACAAATCCTCAAAAAATTAATACTCACACCGTCCCAAAATTATTATCCAATTCGGATTTTCTTTTTTAGTTCAAATTATACCGAAAGTGAAAATCCGAATTGGACAATAATTTTGGGACATAAAAGTACAAAACTTCCGGTAATTTCTAGGTTTGATGTTCTTTGACTCGATCTCATCCTTGTTCATAGTTTTACTATACTTCCTCAATAATGATTTTGTTCAAAACTTCAAATCGCTGTATTATTTACCGAGAAAATGGTACACAACTCGATGTGGAGGAGGGAGTATTTGTAAGCGTTGGTAATAATCCATTACCCAACGATCGTAGGCCCAAAAGTGGAACTAGACACAGGCTTCAAGAGCAAAAACAGAATTCTTCTGGACTTCACATTTGGGCTATTGAGGTCCAAAATACCCCCAAAAAGAAACCCCAAAAAAAGAGAGAAAGAGAAAAAAGTTTTTGTGGGTAAGATTAAACCGACCCCACAAAATCCATGACCAGCCATTGAGCAAATTTCTGGTATGAGATTAACAAGCAGCAAAACAATGCAGCAGAGCTGAGAGCTTTTCAGCTTCCAGAACAACACAACAAATTCAACATCGTTTCAGGAAAAGTGTAAAGCCATGACAATTACAACTACGCCTTCACTTTCCAGACTTAATTCTCCATTTCTCTGTTGCCCTCTCAAGAATTCGTATCCCTCGTCTCCTTCCCTAACCCACAACAACAATACATCACTTAGAAGAAGAAACCACCGCACCTTAACCATAAGAGCGGCTGATCTTGATCAGAACACGGTAGCAATTTTTTATTTTATTTTTTTGAAATCTCTTGTTTTTGTTTTCATTTCACAATCTTCATTCTTTTTTATTGGCATTCGGATGTGCAGATTGTGGCAATAACAGTCGGGGTGGCCAGTCTTGCAATTGGGATTGGGATTCCAGTTTTCTATGAAACACAGATTGACAATGCGGTAAGTTTTTCTATAATCAAAGTAAAAGGTTCAATTTTGGCTCACCATTTTAATGGGATTTCTTCACTATTTCGCCATTGTGACTAATTTTTGCAAATTTCACTAAGTTGTGTAGGCTAAACGAGAGAATACTCAGCCATGCTTTCCCTGCAGTGGCTCTGGTGCCCGTAAGAACTCTTCTCTCTCTGCATTTAACTTTCAATAAATCAGTGTACTCTTTCTTTTTTCCTTTTTCGGAAGGGAATAATGAAAGGTTGTGTTTTGGTGTTCTCACACAAATATATGTCCTTAATTTGTTGTTCTATCCATTTGTAGATTATTGATGTCTTTTCACCTAATAGTTAGCATAATGTAGCTTTAACAGTTGGAACCTTTTTGCTCACTTCCAATATACAGTAATTAGCATAATATATATAGTTTCATTCCTATCAATGCTCAACCTGTGCCCATCATTTCTACCGTGAAACAGAATATTGTTTGTTAAATATAGGGTGTCTATAAAATTCAATCATGAATCTATTGATGAAAATTTTAAAGGCACCAACTAGGTGGTTATTGCCAAAGTACATTGTGATTGTGTTGTGGTTTTCGGGTTTAAACTGGATACTTCGAACCATTGCTATAGAAAAGGGGCAAACAAAACTGAAAGAGATACAAATCAACCTAGACCATCCATTCTGTCTTTTGAGAAAACATCTCCAGAATGCAAAACTTTGGGCATTCTTATGGTTTGTTCAATCATTCAACATTCCAACTTATGCCTTCACTACTTGTGGGTTTATGTCTCTTTAGCTGAAGACTGATTGTTGGTAACCATGATAACTGAAGTTTTGCAGTAGGCAAATGGTCACATTCACCCTTAACTGTATTTTCTGAGTGAAAACGAATGCTAACAAAAGCCATCATGAAATGAGATGCAGTTAGAGAGCAATATGTAACCAATATGATCCTACTATCATAGAAGTAGAACAGATTATCGTACTATCCCTTTTACTCCACCTTAAACGTTGTTTTGTTTTGTTGTAAAAGAGTGATATGTTCTGGATTGTCTTCCCTGCTTATGAAATTAATGAATGGGAGATCATCCTCCAGAGAAATGCAGATTTTGCTTGGGGAGTGGCAGTGTGACGGTAGAGCTTGGAGCCGGTGAGCAAGAGGTCTCAAAATGCATCAATTGTGATGGTTTGGGTTCCTTAACATGCACAACATGTCAAGGCAGTGGCATACAACCTCGCTATCTTGACCGCAGGTATATCAAGCTATACACACACTTGTCGATGCCTCCCCGAACTTTTCCTTCATTTTGGGCTCAAATTCTACGCATGAAATTGTGCATCATGTCTTTCAATAAATCATGCCTTTTGCTGTTCCTTGTTTGCTGATGGGAAAATGCTTTTTCTCTTGCAAATGAACAGGGAGTTCAAAGATGATGACTAGAGAGATGAAGATGATCAGTAGACTCAGATGCTGAACGGAGTTGTTTTTCTTTAAAGGGATTAACATTACAGCATCATTCTTTGATGTGCCAAATCATTTGTGTACCATTTTGTTTTTATCTTTGACTAACAATTGGTTAGCAATATCAAGATACTAGTAAGTAGTAAATATATAAAATGAGGTTACGCTTGTTTGTTAAGTTTTAGCTGCAACATGTATGCAAGGTGGTTTAGTTTCAGTTAGCCTCCATAAATTATGTATCCTATAATATGTAGAACTACTATAATTGGCCTAGAGTAGAAATGCAAACGAACGAATTATATCAACTTTAAGAGCAATTTTAATCACTGAGGGCTAAAACTTGGAGAAACTCGTCATGACAAGCATGCAATTTCATGAGGCTCGCATTTTTTTCTGTATGAGTTCAGGAGTCAGCGAGTTAACCAACCCATTACAAGAGGGGGGGGAGGGAACTAGGATCTATCGAAAACTTCTTGAGCAGTAGAATAGAAAAAGAGTAAGAACACATCTTGTAAAAAAATAGTTCACATTTGTAGACGTTGGTTATAGAAAAATAAGGTTCCCAATAATAATTTATCAAAAGTACAATTTGACAACACAGAAAGACATCAAAGAGGAAACACAAGGCACGGAAGACAATTACAAAAACGTCGACAGCAGGGTTCGAACCTGCGCGGGCGAAGCCCAACAGATTTCAAGTCTGTCTCCTTAACCACTCGGACATATCGACGCAGTTGATGTTCAGCTGTATGGACCTTTTATAATCAAAACGAACATGGAAGGGGTTTTAGGGTTTAAACTCTGCGTGTAAATAATGTCATCAAATTCACCCAATGATCTGCAAATTCTATTACGAACCGCCATTGATACCTTGTTACAAAGCCTATACAGCAGCAATACTTGATTCAATTCAACTCCCACAAGATAACCTCAAATCCTCAGAAAGAAAAAAAAAATAATAATAATAACTTCAAGCTTCAAAAGAGCAAGAGGCAGGGATGTTGTACATTATAGGACTAGGATTAGGGGACGAGAAAGACATTACGCTAAGGGGACTTGAAGCTGTTCAAAAATGTCAAAAAGTTTTCATTGAAGCTTACACTTCTCTCCTCTCGTTCGGCCTTTCCTCGGATGGCCTTTCAACCCTGGTAACTCTTTGATTTTTGTTGCTTTTCTAAATTTTCTTGTGTTTATATTCTATGTATCTTGTTCTGGTCATGATACAAGTTCTGATCTTTTTCGCAGGAAAAACTCTATGGAAAGTCAATTACAGTTGCAGATAGGGAAACGGTTGAGGAGAAGGCCGATGATATACTATCAGCAGCAGCTTCCTCAGATGTTGCTTTTCTGGTAGTTGGAGACCCTTTTGGGTATTCCCTCCTCTTTCCCTGATTTTGTAGTTCTTTTACATTATATGTACTTTGTGTGTTTACAAATCATCCCCATAAAGTTGCAACCATTGTTAGGAGGATTTTACCCTGTCAGGTTCTTTTTAGGCTTCATTTACTAGAATGGTTCCTTATCAAATTGTTGCGGTTTCATTCTGATTTGAACATATTCTCCTTCCAATGAATCTTAGTCCTCTGTTTCAATGCCGATAATCAGGGAACTGATTTGATTATTTTTGTTACATGGTTGGTAAAAGTAGTTTGTCAGTGTAATGTGTAGAAACATTTGCAAGCTTGTGGTTGTTGAAGTGATTACTTTTTAATGTCAGTTTTGTGACCACTATGTTAACTTATTTTATGGAGAGATTTTGCCTTGTCACTTTTATGATTGCTCATGATTTATTGTAAAATAATTTTCTTGCTATTTGCAGAGCTACAACACACACGGACCTTGTGGTTAGAGCGAAGAAATTGGGTGTGGAAGTAAAGGTTGTGCATAATGCATCAGTCATGAATGCCATTGGGGTTTGTGGCTTACAACTCTACCGATATGGAGAGACGGTTTCCATTCCCTTTTTCACAGATTCCTGGAGGCCTGATAGCTTTTACGAGAAGATTCAAAGGAACCGAAAGCTGGGACTGCATACTCTCTGCTTGTTAGGTAAAATCAATGTTTTTGGCTTTCCCTTGGGTTTAATGCTATGCTATCTGAAATCTTCGTGGAATCTACCAAGATGTTCTGCCTGGGTTACGAAGCCATAGTTTTCGTGTCTTGGTTTTTCACATTTCTCTGATAACTGAAATGGATTTTCAACTGCTGATGATCGTCTCAACAAAATTTGGTTCCCTGGCTCATGTGTTGTTCATGTGCTAGTGATATTTAATAGATTCGAGGGGATTCCTTCCTGCAAAAGTTAGCCACACTTTTTAAACTAACCCTTGATAACCTTAAAGACATGAATCATTGCAAGTTGTTTCCTGAGTACAAAAATTTAGCATTGTTTCCTGGCTCATTTTCTGGCTTCTGATAAAATGTTTTGTTTAGTCCAATAGCCCTCTGGCACATTTACAGTGTATAGCCCTGTTTCACCATTTACTTCTAAGACTCTTCCCGATATCTTTCATGTACTTAAACTTGTATTTTGAATCCAAAATGGATATCTCTTATGTCAGTTAAATCTCTCTTGTATGTTGCTGTAATGTAGATCTCACGATATTGTTCCATCTTTGTTTCAATTGTCCACAACTGATGGCATATGTTATTCTTTTTGCAGATATTCGTGTGAAAGAACCTTCATTAGAGTCCTTATGCAGGTTGGTTTGAGATTCAGTATTATCATATCAAGTTAAATTCAATTGCCTTGTTGGTGTTACTCAGTTGTATGGTTGAGCCAAGATTGATTTCCTTTCTTATTGGTTTACAGAGGGAAAAAGCAGTATGAGCCGCCAAAGTTTATGACAATAAGCATTGCAATTGAGCAGCTTTTGGAGATTGAACAAATGCGTGGAGAAAATGGTAGGCTTATTATTGTCCATATTGCATACACTCGGTTGTTTTGTCTTTGCATGTAGAAAATCTAACATTTGCAAGCTGTTGTATGCATCGAGAAAATTTATGTTTCGCCGATAACTGTACTAATAATTTCGGTGGGTTTGTCTTCTTGACGCAATTGAAGGCAAAAAATTAGTTTCAACTAATATCGATATCTTTTCTATGCATTATCACTTTAAGATATTCTCTGTTGATTACACGAATTCATGGTTAAAGAGTGAGAATTTGAAGTTATTTGAAATTGTGGTGAACTGCAGCTTACAATGACAAGACACTCTGCGTCGGTTTTGCTCGGCTTGGTAGTGAAGATCAAATGGTAGTTGCTGGTACCATGAAGCAATTGTCAGATGTTGATTTTGGTCCTCCACTTCATTGCCTTGTAATAGTTGGCAACACTCACCCAATAGAAGAAGAGATGCTGGACTTCTATGAACTGGGCAAGATTCAGGGGCAAACTTCATGATATATTTTTTCTTTTTTGTTAATTAGACATCAGATTGGATTGTAAATCAGGCCCTGTTGTTGTTTCAAACTTCCTTTTTTTTTTTTTTTTTTTTTTGGCATCATTTTGGCTTTATTTGCCTGTGCAACCCTTTTGTCAAGTTTTATATTTGAATGTGAAATAATATGATCAAAATTAAGCTGGTATACGACTATTCATTTCTTTCTACGCTAGCTTTCCAAGTTACAAGATGTCCGAAATTTGCATCATCTAAAGCATTCAATGATAAAAGCAAAGCTTTAACTGAATCTCTTCACTGGTAAAAACTTCAAAGGACCAGAACTCCAACTACTAGAGTACCATGACCACACTACAGAACAATAGTAAATAGTTTTAAGGACCAAAACTCCAACTACGGGGTCAGAAGTTTCAACCATACAAGTCTCCCTCCATTAAACAGGATTCGCATGCTTTTACTGCCTCGCGATACAACGGCTTCCACAGCTTCGATGCTTTTTTCACTGATTTCAGGGTCGTCATGGATCTTCAAGTCCTTGATCTTATCCAAGCCTTTTGCATCATCAACCAACTGGAAAAAGAAATTGTAGCCTCCTACCCTCTTTGCTTCAGTGGAACTGCATAAGGTTTTAATCCCGTCTAGACAAACAGAAACGATCCAAGGATCAGAGTAGTCAAGAAGATCGTTTTATATAGTCCACCAAACCTTGAGCCCTGTCCACCATAGCCAAAGTGAAAAACAAACCTTCAGATTAATGTCCTAATATTTTAGCAAAAGATGTTAAAGATTCAATCACTACCTGTAAATCCAATGAATAGGCAATAGCCATCAGAGAAATTCTTATACAAAAATCTCATTATAGAAAGATTTGATCTTCTGTTTGAAAATCAATTAAAATTTTGGTAATGTTATTATATCCCGGGCATACACATACAATATGGCCCCGTGGAGCTCCAACTTTAAATGCACAATTAAGTGAAGTGATGGATTGAACAAACCATTATATTGCAGTCACGTCCTCTCGCAATATTGAACAACTTGTTGCTATTTAATGCATCATGACTGTGTTTTGCTTTGATCAATTGGTTATTCATTTGCTGCTTTTGATGGACACAAGTAAAAAGACGATAATAGTAATGGGTTGTCCGTAATGGTTTGTGATATGTCTTTCGTGCATTCTTCCTCCAGGAACAATGTGTAGTTTGTCTTTGTTGGGTGAATCATTCTCTACCAAATTTTTAAGACACAGCAATACCACCTTACAAATTACAATGAAGAAACTCTTATGTCGTTTTTTTCCCGGCTTTGGTAGTGAAGATCAAATGGGTAGTTGCTGGTACCCATGAAGCAATTGTCAGAGGTTGATTTTGGCCCTCCACTACATTGCCTTGGAAATAGTTAGCAAGATTCAGTAGAAAACTTCCATGATTTTTTATATGGCTACTTATACGTCAAATTGGACTGTAAATTTGTTATTAAATGTAAGCTGATATATACAACTGTCACCTCTTTTATGCTAGTTGACAAGATACAGGAAGCTGCACAATGCTAGTCTGTTTTCTGCATTTTCTAAAGCATTTAAAGATGAAAGCAATGCTTAATCCGGTCAGATATTTCTGGGTAAAAATTCAAGGAGAATTTCTACTGATCTTGCAAGGTCATAACATCTACACCCAAAAATTATAAGACAAGATGTCAGCTGCTAAACTATGAAAAGAATTGCGCATACTTGCCCTGCAACCACGCAAGCCTCATCGAATTGCTCTTGAGAGAAAGGAACATCTCTCGTAGCACAGGGTCCTCAAAGAGATCCAAGGCCGCATAATAGAGCCAATCATCAATCCCTTCAACCTCATCCAAAGCTCTTATGCAATTCGTAATGGTATATTTTGCATCATTCTTAGATGTTGCATTGGCTCGTAACTTTGATGCAGCAATCATCTCACACAAGGCTTCTGCCATTGTCTCCCCTAGTGTTTCGGCCATGTTGGTTTCCTCTGATCGACCATTGCGTACTTCCGGTGCACGCTTTCTTTTTCTTTCTGTGATGGATTTGTTTGGATTTTCTGGCAAGGACACATTTCCCTGTACTGGTGTTGCTGAGGAAGGTTTTTCAGGATGTAGATTTACAATTTCTGGACATGAAGTTTCGCCACCAGCAGATTTCTCCAGCCCTTCATTATAGTGGCTTGACCGCGCATATTTTCCTTCAGCACCCGAGTCCCCAAAAATCGCACATAACTGGTCAAAAATAGGACAATCCTTGACCCTGGTAGTCTCCGGGGGTTTCTGCTGTGCCTGTCATTTTCAAAAAATTTACGTACTACTAACCAAATACATAAAAGCAACTAATGTAAGAGAGAATTGTACAAAGAATACCCCGAACTCTTCCCACAAGTCGAACCCAAGGTAGCAAGGTTCTTCCATCAGATCCTGTTGATCTAAGGCAGATTTCAAACTAAAGAAACGAGTACGGAGAACATCTAAGTGCTTCCTCAATTGGTTGTTGTTGAAATTGAGATTTGTCTGTCTGTTGAATTCTTCCCGTATATAATTCCAGGCTTTCTTATCGAAAATATTATTTGGTCTATTTCCAAGCAATATCTGCTCAACAACAAGGTCTGCAAAAATCTTATCGAGGGATGCTGTCCATCTTTGTCTCATACGCTCCTGCTTGGGCAAGTGTTCGTTGCCTTCATCATCCATCTATACAAAATCAATATATCCTGGTCAGAACCATCGTTAATCATGCATTAGAAACTACTACATTGTTACTTCTGTCATCACACAAGAGCAGTTAAGGTAACTTCGTTATGCCTCTAGCTAAGCCCTACATTTGGCTCAATGTAGTCTCAGCTGATGTACAACTTCACTATGTCCAACAAGTAAATGAGAAATTGCCATAATAATACACAATGCAGCAAAAAGAACAATTATACAAAGCGGTCAGTCTGGAACAAAATATATATCTAAAAAAAATTCCAGCCGCCTTCCCCAACAAAAAGATTCAATGATCAAAATCGCTACAGGATAACAGACGAATAGCTGTTAGCACAAGGAGCATATGACAACATAAACAGCTTTTCACATGTCAAAGAAATGAACTTTTACCCCCTCAAAAGTGGTGAAGATACCTACGTAGGCACCGAAAATAGAAGACTGAAACAGTAACGTCACTTTCTACCTAAAACCAAAGAGGGAAAAACCATACAATGTGACTACAAATAGAAATGCAAAAACTAGAACCCTATGTACAGAATCATATGAAAATTTTGATATCTTGGAACAAACAGCAGAAAGATGCGACAATTAGAAAGGAGTGCAGAACCAATTTAAAAACGAAGAAGTTAAATTCACTGATGGGAGAATAGAAGATTGAGACGCTGTACCAGAATAAAAGTTTGCCGGCGGTTTCAATGGGTTCCGGCTTCCGATTACAGTTTCCGGGAGAATTAGGGCGGGGGCGGGTGTCGTTTGATGAGACCCTCGCCGTTTAATTTTGTGTTTTCGGCAAATTACGTTTAGCATCCTATCCAAGTTACCGTAATTGCAAATTTGCAAGCAGGCTGATCCATTATGCGTCGTAGGGCCTCTGGGCCCCTTTGTCACCTTTGATGATGGGCACAGTCCAACCCGGATATAGTGAAATTCCGACTTGGGCCGGCTTCTATTCAATTGGGTTGCTGCTATTGAGCAGTTAACATTTGGAAGATAGAAGATTATCCATAATATTTTTCTCATAAGATGACAAATGCAGCGACTACGACGCCACATATCCGAAGATGGCAATTGCCTTTTTTGTGGAGAACTGGAGATTCTTTTTCATGTTTTCCGTGACTGTTTTTGAGTCAAAGCACTGTGAAAAAATTTCTGTCCACAACTCTGACAGCAACTTTTAGTAAATAGGCTTTGGTCCGATTAGATTCAAACTAACTTACATTCCTCTATTATGCAGGAGAATTACCAATGGAAACTCTGGTTTGGAGTCATCTGTTGGAAAATGTGGAAAGCCAAAAACGAAGAAACCTTCAGCACGACTCCTATCTCGATGGAAGAGCTCAGAAGATCCATGCTCCCTGATCAAAGAAATTGCTAGGTCAATTTTGATTTTGGCACCACAAAGAAGACCCGGCCAAGCTGAAACTAGACCATGGAGTCCACCGCCATGGGAATGGGTTAAAAATAAACACCGATGGAGCTACAAGCTTCAAGAAGAAAAAATCAGCAGCAGTGGGGCTTATTCGTAACCATGAAGGCTTTTGGATTACAAGTTTTGCTGCCAACCTGGGAAACTGCAATTGCTTAGAAGCCTAATACTGGGGCGCGCTATTTGACCTCCAGATCGCCTGGAATCTCTGTTTCAGAAAAGTAATTCTGGAGATAGACTCGATAGAAGCAATAAATTCTCTCAAATATAGCGAAAAGTCCATACCATCAAGTAATGTTCTTAGGCATATTTTAGCATTACTAGAAAAGAATTTGAGGGTGAATCTTAGCCTCATTCGTAGAACATCCAATGAGGCCGCAGATTCACTAGTCAAGTTTGGTTTCTCATGCCCAACGGGGTTATAGATTTTGTTAATACCTCCATCTAGTATTGCCGAACAACTAAAAGTAGATAGGAATTTATCATCCCCATCTTAAGGGATGCTTTGTACTCAAGCTTTTACTTCCTACGTATATAAATATATATATATAAATATATATATATATATATTTCTCATGATGATAGACATTTTGATTTTTCAAAGTTTCATTTAATATATTTTTATAATAAATATTTTATAATAATTAGATAACACAATAAATATAAAAATATATTTTTAATATTTTATTTTTAATTAAAATAATATACTAAATGAAACTTTAAACAAATCAAAATGATTTATAATAAGAATAGAAGGATTACCACTCACTCTGCTGAACAATAAGTGATACAATTGAATCTTTGAAGTGATTCATGTCATGCATGATGTAACCAATATGTTTTTGGTTCGAAATATTAATATACTCACCGGATCCAAAAAAAAAACACACACACACAAAACACAAAACAAAACCAAAAAAAAATAAATAAATTGTTTTTGAACTGAACCGGCATATTTGATATGATTAAATATTTTGGAACAGAGGTTGTTTTTGAAAGTAAAGCGTTGGCAATACAAATAAAATACTTGGTGCGATTATGGGGTTTATTTATTGAAACCTCCCTATGGAATATGGATAGAGAGTTGCTGTTATTGGTGATTATTCACAGATTAAGTCAACATGTTACATTCTGATCCCATCATGCTATTAAATTAAACTAAGTTAAAGCTAAAGTCAAACGCATGAAATTAAGGACAAAGATCTATATGCTTGAGACGAAATCAGATTTGATTCTTCATTTACACTCTGCCAAATTGAAACAAACTAGCTTAGCTTTGCATAATCCAATGATTGAGCTCTACAATAATAATAGATAATGCATTCCCCTAATAATTTAATCAGCTTAGTCCCATGCCCACAAACTTGAATGGAGATCTTCAGTTTCCAAAAGTACAAATGTAATCATATTAGCATTTGAGAATAATCAATAGTTCCTTGGCTTTACATTTAAGTTTGTGTTGCTTTCTATAGCAGGCCTTTGTTATTTACTCAACCATTAAGAAGTATTATCTCCGTTCCAAAATAAGCGTCGTTTTAGCAAAATGGAGAAATTCCAAAATAAGTGTCGTTCTCACATTTCAATGCATTTTTTGTCAAAAGTTTTCAAAATTACCCTCAAAAGAGTTGATGCTATTGGTGGACAATTTTATAACGGGGTTGGTTGGGAATATTGAAGTAATTTTATTACCCTATTTAAAAGTTTCTTAAATTATGTGCAAAGTGTAGGACGACACTTATTTTGGAATGGAGGGAATATTACTTTTTCCATATTAAAATGACTATCTTTTCTATTGTGGTATAATTTTATTATAATACTCTCTCCGTCCTAAAATTATTGTCCAGTTTGAGTTTTCATTTTTAGTTCAATTTGTAATAAAAATGAAAGTCATAACTGGACAATAATTTTAAGACGAAAAGAATAATAAGTAAGACAATTATTTTAGGACGAAACAAAGTGACTCAGAATGATATTAAAGCTAAATGCAAATGCAAATGTGGCACTCTTTTTGGATGGATGAATCACAATTAAACTAATGCTAGTTGAAAGGTCTCCATCACAGCTCCCACCAAAACTTTCAGATCCATGCCATGAGATTCTGAGCCACAAAAGGAAGAAAAGACCAAATCATAGTTAAATGAAATTTTTTGGTTAACCAGTTATAATAACAGCCCCAGCGGAATGAAATTACGGATAAGCCATGGAGTAAGGAGGGAATTACCAACAATTTAAGAGGCCAGGCTGTAATCTTTACCGCGCAGATTTCGCAGTGGATTACACAACAAATTGAAACAAAAGTCTACTTTGGTCATTTTCCACATTTTTCCAATCCTTAAAAAAAAAAAAAAAAAACCTGAAATCCGACACAAACTCTTCGGACATAATCGTAATTCGCAAGTGTCGGTGCCCTGTTCTGTCCCAAAAACTCCCATTTTTACCGACGTTTCAACTCTATTTCTTTTCACCAAAATTCAACCACATTGCCTGCAATAAAACAACATTCCATCTCCCTCCATCTTCTACTCAAAATCTTTCCTTCACATCTGTTGATATTTTTTTAATTTTTATTTCTTTCACAAAATCCCCGGAACATTTACAAAAATATATACAAACATTACCTTTGGGATCAGAATTCAATTACTAACCAACACCGTTTTCCTGGCATTGATGAATGCCGGGTGTTTTATCCATTCCTGAGCTCCAAAAACCTTGAAAAATCATTTATTTAAAATAAGTGATGCTGCATTTGGGTCGGGTTAGATCTGAGATATAAACATTCTTTTAAGAAAGTTAAAAGTTTTCCTCTTTCCCATTGTGAAGCCGATAATGGGGAAGAGTAATTCTAAAGGAGGATGTTGGGGTTGGTTGCTGGTTTTGATTGTGGCTGCTGCAGTTGCATTTGGGGTTTTTGTAATGGTGAAGAAGAAACAGCACGATTCTCATGGCGGGGCTGCCCCTGTTCCTGGCCCACCTGGTGCTGTTACCAGGAAATATTCAGATGCTCTGAATACAGCAATGCAGTTCTTCGACGTTCAAAAATGTATGCGTATAATTATAATCCCTCTTTTTTTATGCTTTGGTTTTCTTGGTAGTTCAATTGGTAGTTTCTCATTAGTTTGTGGTATTTGGTTATTGCTGATTGGTTTTGTTGATTTATGTGATGTAGTTTTATGTCGGTTGATTTGATTCTGATGCTTAGGTTTACTTTAAATTTGTCGTGACTTGCTGTGTTACATGAAGTATCCTCCGTTTGATAAACAGGATTACATGAATCAGTTAGCTATTTACGTCTTTAGGAAAGGATGTATTTTTTGTCAATGCTGTGTGGATTGAAACAATTCAATTTAGATAGGCGTAGGGAAAAAAAAAAGAAAGAAAAAAGAAAAAAAGAATTGAATGCTTGGAGGCTGTAAGTGCATCATACTTTCATCGATAATTCTCCATTCGAAGTCTTTTACCCATATCTGGTAGATCTAGTGTTTTAATTTGAAAGGATATTGATTAGTTTGTAAAATTTTCAATTTGTATGAGAAGCTCTTTTTTAAAGGTTAACCTAATGAGTACTGAACTGTTTTGATATTCTTTTCTAATGATTCTAGTTTTCGTACGATTTTGCAGCCGGGAAGCTGGTTGATAACAAGATTACTTGGAGAGGGGACTCGGCTCTTGATGATGGAAAACCCGCGAATTTGGACCTTTCAAAAGGAATGTATGATGCTGGGGATCATATGAAGTTTAATTTCCCAATGGCTTTCACTGCAACAGTCCTGTCTTGGGCTATCCTAGAATATGGTGATCAGATGAAAGTGGTGGATCAACTTGAACCTGCTCAAGACTCACTTAAATGGATCACCGACTACCTTGTCAATTCGCATCCTTCTGACAATGTTTTGTACATTCAGGTTTGCTTCATTTAGTTTCCTGGTTGACAGTTTCCATTACAATCTCCTGTAATTCTTGCCAGAATTATGATGCAAGTTAGATGTGATAACAGCTGTTTTCCTTTCTAGTTTAATGTGATGACAAAGAACTAGCTAACCTTATGATGAAATATCTCTAACATGAATTGTGATACTTTTGTTAATAAATATGATCACATGCCATGCTTCTTATCTTCTTTTGGCATCAGTACACTAAATTGTGCTTTTAGCATCCTTGAACTCTTTGTAGGTTGGTGACCCTGCTGCAGATCATAAATGTTGGGACCGGCCAGAGGACATGACCGGGAAGAGGCCTTTGACACAGGTTAATACTTCTGCCCCTGGAACTGAAGTTGCAGCAGAAACTGCAGCTGCTCTGGCATCTGCATCTTTGGTCTTCAAGGCCCATGACCCAACATATTCGAGCTCACTTCTCAAGCATGCCAAACAATTGTTCACATTTGCTGACAACTATAGAGGTTCTTACAGTGAAAGCATTCCTGAAGTCCAGACATATTACAACTCAACTGGATATGGTGATGAGCTCTTATGGGCAGCTAGTTGGCTTTATCATGCTACAAAGGATCAATCGTACTATGATTATGTGACTGAGAAAAATGGTGAAAAGTTTGCTAACTTTGGGAGTCCTACCTGGTTTAGCTGGGATAACAAGCTAGCTGGAACTCAGGTAAATTTTCACTTTTTTCCATAGGATTCGAGTTACCATTTCTTAATTCTTCGACAAATAGATTCAGAATGATAAGAGTAGTGAATTTGTATATGTGAATATGATTTGGAAGCTGAAATTTTAGTCCACCAAGCTTTTTTTTCAATTCCACTCCTTCATTTTTAAGTTGTCCATTGTAGCTGGAGAATCATATTTTTCTAATTTTCAGATTACCATAACTTCCTAGTTTGACTATGTTCAGTTAGGGAGATGTTATGATTACTGAAAGTTCAATATCTTTAGATACATTCTGAACATGTTTATTAATGCAGGTCCTGATGTCAAGAATCAGCTTCTTTAGTTCCAAAGAGGCCTCGAATTCTGATATCCTCCAGAAGTACAGGGACTCAGCAGAGGCTGTCATGTGTGGACTTCTTCCTAAGTCTCAAACAGCCACTTCCAGCAGAACTGATGGTACAATTCTCAATGTACTCCCTTTAGTTTATTTTGGGGGATGTTAAATAATGCTTCACATACTCATGGAGATTACCTATTTGGCTTGCGCGTAAATCGGCAAAAGAAAAATCTGAATAGGCACTGATTGTTTGATGTAGATAGCTGAAATTATATCGGATGATACATGCTTATCCACTACACGTAATTAAAGATGACTAAGCATCTATTTGTCATTGTAAATCCTGAGTTCTCCATTATATAGAGAACCTAACTTAGTAAATTTTTCTATAGTTATATATTTCCAAATTAAAAAAAAAAAATAGATACTATGATTAACCATCACAATCTTTGTTTCTTTAGGTGGTTTGATATGGGTTACTGAATGGAACGCATTGCAGCATCCGGTGGCATCCGCATTTCTAGCTGTTGTCTACAGTGATTACATGCTATCATCTCGTACTGCTTCAATATCATGTAATGGTGACTCTTTTACTCCATCTGATCTTCGCAAGTTTGCTATTTCACAGGTAAACTCTCTTAGATTCTTTATGTTTCTGTTTAGATATTGAGGGGACATGTCACATTTAGCATAATTCTGCTCAATTTGAACTGTAGGCTGATTATGTATTGGGTGACAACCCAATGAAGATGAGTTTTCTTGTGGGATATGGCGATAAGTATCCACAATTTGTGCACCATAGAGGAGCTTCAATTCCAACTGATGCAACGACAGGATGCAAAGATGGTTTCAAGTGGCTCGATTCAACTAAACCGAATCCAAACATTGCGGTTGGAGCGATGGTTGGTGGCCCTTTTCTCAACGAGACGTATATTGATTCAAGAAACAACTCAATGCAAGCGGAACCAAGCACCTATAACAGTGCAGTTCTTGTTGGCCTTCTTTCTGGTTTGGTCACCACTTCCTCAGTGGTTCAATCTTTCAGTTAAATAGGTCTTCATGTTTGGCACTGGAAAGCAAGATGAATAGCAGCAGTTTGACTGAGTCAGATGTAATTCATTCTTATAATTAGTATTGGATGAATTCGAGGTTTGTATAGTAGATATTCCTGCTCCTGTCAGTCCTACACTAGGACTAATGTTTGTATACACAATTATATGTTATACCTGCATATGGCAGTATGATCTTTTTTGTAGCAGTGTCATATTGAGGTCAGTGCTCCAATCTGGAAAGGCTACTCTGCTGCCAAAAAAAACTTAAAATTTGTTTTGTATTTTTATAGTTGAAGCTTAAAAATGCAATTGTAAAAATATATATTGAAAATTATCCACACCAGGAAACAAAAGTACTCGGACTAACTCTTCTTTTGTTACAATAAAGAAGGTTTAATACATAATTAGTACTCTCTCTATCCCAAAATTATTGTCTAGTTTGAGATTTTACTTTTAATACAATTTGAATTAAAAATGAAAATCTAAACTGGACAATAATTATGGGACGGAGCGAGTACATTTTTGAGACATGATATCTTTATTACATTATATTTCAACCATAATTTGATTTCTAGTGACGGTCCTCTAAAAGAAACCTTTTTAACCGGTAATTGGATTTTTTGTGCTGACATATATAACACACACCTCTATTTTTAAATATTACAAACTTTTTCATGTACCATTAACCAATTTTTATATTTTCGGGAAAAAAGAAAAAATCTAACAAGACATTATCCATGTACATTGACTATAACAGTATTTAGACAGGAAAACCGAAGGGATAATTAATCGAAGTGAAAAGACAGATGCACATGTGAGTGAGTTTGCAAACTTTTTGATGAAATTGACAAAGTTGTACATTGAAGCAGCCCAATCAAAGGCTGCACGGATGAGTTGTACCTTTGTTTTAGAAAGTGGGCCTCTCAAATGGGCCACCCGAATTATGTGCAAAAATGTAGTCCACCCAGCTTAGCTTGTTCTGGCAAACATTTTGATGATGAAATGAAGTTGTTATTCATTGTACTCTCTTTCCTGGGTTTCCGCTACTCTGTCTTTGTCCATAAATGAGGAAATTCTACCTGCTCCCTCCTCAATTATTTAACGGTTACTTGTACTTTGAACCCAAAATGTGGTAATTTTTTGTACTTATAATTATGTGGAATAGTCTCAATGATGTAAATAGTAAATGTTTATAGAGTTCGAGTTATATTCACCCCCAGATAAGCCATGAAAGAGTGACTTAACTTGAACTCATAAGGATACGAGAAGTTTTGAGTTTAAAGTACTCCCTCCAGTCCTTATTATAAGATATTTTGATTTGTTCTATATTTAACTTAGTACATAGTTTTAAACGGCAAAAAAATCCTTAAAAATATTTTATAATAATCAAAAGAATACAACGAATGTAAAAATATATTTTTAAGGTTTTTTCGTTAATTAAAAATGCGTACTGGGTGAAACCTAAAACAAAATCAAAATGTCTTATATTAATGACCGGAGGGAGTATATAGTTTTAAAGATTATACTCAATTATTTTTATTTTTTTTTGTACTCAAAAGTTCGTTATTAAATCTTCTAAGAGGAACTTTTTATCAGCAAGTTAAGAGACAAACTCAGGATTTTACCACTAGTTATACGGGTAAACATACCAAAATGTAATTTTGCTAAAAACACATTTTAGGTAAAATTTAAGACAAAATAAAAATGTCTTATAATAAGTACCGGAAGAAGTATTATTTTTAGATAGGCATGAAATACAAAATGCCAACTAATTGAAAAGTTTTTTTATACAAGTATGTACTTGTAAGATCTAATTTGTTGTCAGTGGACTATTTTGGTGACAAGTACAAGCATCTAGACTCAAGTTAAGTGCGGAGGTTCAAAACGAGCAAAAAAAAAAAAGAGAGAGAGAGAGAGAGTTGTGGAGAAGAAGGAAATGTTGACATTTGGGGGTTTGAGAATGAGCACATCATCAAAGTGTAACAATAGAATGTTGTTTTTAAGAGTCGAGTTACATGTACAGAAAACGGAATCTCAATCAATTCTAGACACAAACGTTGTTGTCTTCACAATTGACATATGAAAAAGGAAGGTACCTTTCCTGCTTACCAGGTTAGCACTAAAAATAATGAACAATTCAAATCAATCAAATCATCAAAATTACATGTACTGATGATGATTCAAGAAATTGAGAAGCCTCAGTGTACTGAAAGAGAGAGATTCCCATTTTCCCACAGCTACTGAAAACAACTGTGGTCCTCGTTTGCTACTACTGCTATTTATCTATACTTAATTAATGAGATTTTTTTTTTGCCCCGAATAAAACCTCCAACCAAAAGAGCTTCTTAATTTCATCTTGAATCCCTTCTTCCTCTTCCATCTAATTAAGTAAAAAGAGCAACTTGTCATTTGCAAGCTAGTTCGCCGAGACTCGGGTCGGGTCAACGGGCAATGTCCAGTTTTGTGGTGTTATAACCCAGTTGTTGCTCCATCTCCCAACTCAGTTTAGTACCAGCCTCATTATGCTTTGGAACATACTCCTGCCAGATTAACGGATTAATTAGTGAGACAAAAAAACTTAATTATACCATTATATATACCACTATTATTATCACTTATTCATATCTGGTAAGAATTTAAATGATACATCATCGGCTATCATTTGCACTATGTAGAAACCACAAAAATTAGTACCTCAAGCTTGGACATGAGTTCATGGGCGGTCGGGGCAGATACAATGATATGACGGGCAGAAGGTGTAATGAAACCCTCATCCACAGCTTTGTCTATGAAAGACAAAAGGGAGTTATAGTATCCGTCCACATTCAGCAATCCCACCTTCAAAACCACAGCAAATAAGAAGACTTTAAATTACAAAACGTCACTCATAAGTAATCTTCTATTACAATTATCGGAAAGGTAATTAATTATGCAAAAATAAAGTTGAACTTTCTAGTGTTTCTAAAATTTGGAATATTATTGGAATCTATTTGGAGATTCTGTTGTTCGCGTGTACTTCAAAATTGTCTACCCTCTTGAGGAGGGTCCTCCACAGGATATTTCTAAAATAATACTACAATGTTTTCTTTAAATACAAAACAATGGATCTATAGGTTTTTTTTATTAGAAAATATGAGCATGACTAAGTAATACTACTACTACTACTAGTGTGATTAATTAAATGAAAGTGAGATATTTACGGGTTTCTCGTGGATTCCCAGTTGAGCCCAAGTGATAACTTCTAGGAGTTCCTCCAAGGTTCCATAGCCACCTGAAAAATTGGATCAATTAATCACCATTGCTTGTGCTTCTGGAAATTTTTGTTTTGAAATGGTTCTCCTGTTTTAGTTAAATAAATCGGACAGTCGTTTCAAAACTAAGAGAGTATAACATTTATAATCTTAATAAATCACATCATTTCACTAATAAAAATGGCTAATGTGAGCTGAACAAAATAGAGTGTGCCAATTGATTACATGAAATTGATTATTGAGGGGATGAGATCTTTAGTCTTTACTGCTTGCACAAATGTGGTATGGACCGTCAGTTGTCAATTTTAGAAACTGTAAACGAAAGCAACTAAAGAGACTTTAGATCGGTGATGTCCGTACCTTACCTTTTGTCAGTTTGACAAGTACATGTATATTAATCCCTCAATCAATCATGAGGATTTGTAACAAAGACCAAGAATTATACCAATCTATTTATTCCTCATTCCCCACAAAATTATGATTATAAAAACTTTTGAAAAATGTGCTCACAAAGTTTACAAAACCAAATTCCATTTTAACATTCGAAATCAATAAAAAAAATTTTATATACCAGGTAAAGCTATGAACGCATCAGCTTGTCGAGCCATTTCAGCTTTTCGTTGGTGCATTCCGGACACGGGTCTCACTTCTCCAACAGTCTCACCAGTAATCTGAATTAGTTAACATTTGTGGACCAGTTAGCCAACTTCATTATTTTCCTAAGATGTGAACTCACACAAACAATTAGACTATTGTACCCACACACACACACAAAAAAAAAACCCAAATAATTAGACTTCCATATTAAGCAAATATACCGGAAAAAACTAATTAAAAAAGAACACGGACCAAAACGCAAATTAGATTTAGAACTTTCAAAGCCGTGGGGACAAAATGTTGTATGTGGGTTCATTATGGGGAAGAAACCACATGAACAATGACACAGAATTGGCAAATTGAAACAAGGTGTTTGTTATTCTACGAAAGAAACAAATCTAATTACCTCTCTTGGCATTAGCGTTTTGGGAATCACCCTGTCAAAAAAAAAAAAAAACAAACAAACAAACAAAAACGTGCCAATACACATTGGTAAGAACATAAAATCATTGTAATCCCAAAAGTAAAAGTAAAATGTAAAAAATTGTGATGGAAGTAATAAAAATATGTACCCTAATACGTGGCGTCCACCATTGAAGACGGCTTGAGAAACTAATCCCATCAACCCAATGCTTCCACCACCATAAACAAGGTCAATCTTCCTCTCAACCTGCCATATTTAAAAAAAGAAAATAAAAACCTTTCAATTACTATATTTTTTATGAGTATCAATAAATAAAATAATTAGAAATGCTATAATCAGTAATTACGTACATTAACACGCAAATTATAAGCTAAGTTCCACGTTAATCCTGCTGATATTAACGTTTCTCTTACCCAAACTCCCATAACGCCGACTAGCAGTTTTTACACAAAAATAGAAAAAACATAAGAGTCATTGTCCGTACAGCTAGGGGGAAAAAAAAAGAGAAGCCCTTTTTGATTTGCCCATCTTTACGAACGACAAAACATGTGTCCAATCTTTAAGTCCATTACTACCTATTTCCGAGTAAATCCCATTAAAGGATATGTATTTTGACATTAATTAACACCAAACTTTAGCTTAATCTTCTGTTGGATTCCGAGATTAGTGGAGGTTTAGGCTACTCAGGTGATCGATTCGATGGAGGACAATTGATGAATCAACTACATGACATCAGAATCAGAAGTACTTAATTTGTGATGAAGTGATCATTACAATTGTATGCAAGAAATTATAAAAATGTACCAGTTGATTAGCAAGGTGAATAGCTGCAAGCTGATAACTTGGGTTCTTGCCGGGGCTGCTACCGCAAAAAACGCAAATCCGCCGGAATCTGGACGATTTGGTGGCGGGCGGTGGTTGCTGGGCTGATTGGTGGTGGAGTTGGTGTTGGCGGTTCTCCATAACCGGAAATTTAAAGCTTCTTTTAATTTCTTTTTGAACTCAAAGAAGAAGTTGCTCTGTTTTTCAGCTTCAAAACAGAGCTAATAGAAATCACACTATATATGATGAGAATTGTCCCTACTATAAAAACGTGAATGAAGATGATGGGATAAGGAGGAGGTTTGGGTTTCTGTACAAGAAATGGAATGATGATGAGTTTGTTTTGCCGGGTTTAAATGGAAAGTGGACTGGAATTAAATAAGCAGCAGTGCGTGTGTGTGTGGGTGTGTGTCAGAGCGTGTACTTTGTGTGTGATTGGAAGGGGGTATGAATTATGAAACTGTGTGTCTGTGAAAGTCAGCAAGTTTTCTTCTTTTGACAAACACTTATGAACTTTGGGTGAAAATAGAAGGAAGGCCGAAAAGGGGATATATTAAAGAGAAAAAACAGATGGGAATGGAATGAAATGGAAGGGAAGGAAGAAGAAAAAAGAGAACGAAGAAGAGGGTATTCTGCGAGTTTTAATTTTTTTTTTTCCTTCGGTGTACATATTTACATGTATGTATTAAAATAATAATGGTTGATGAATAATGATCATAGGAATTTATGATCCAATCTGTCATCTACACTTGTCAATTTAATTTGAAAGTTTCAAAGTGGGGGAGGAGGATGATCAAAAATGGGAGGGGTGATGTCCTTTTCGACCAAAAGGCAAAAGAAGAAAAAGCCCCAAATATGGTAGAAGAAGAAGAAGAAGAAGGGATCGGATTGTCCTTTACCCGCCCCTTTCCTCTCAGTTTCCCCTCTTGTACTACTAAGTGTTGTGTATTTGAAACTACGTATCACATTGCATCATTATTTTCCTACAAAAAAACGTATTATATTTAGATTAATTTTTATTTAATTCAGTGTATATTACATGATCGGCAAGGGAATGCAGGTTTCTGATCGGTGGTTTTCGATTTGTTTTATTTTGTAATCAGATCTGTCGTCGTTTTAATCTGTCTCGATATGATATCGATGGCAAATTTTTACTTAACTTGTGGTAGAGTTGTAATCCTTTTGGAATAACTATTTAGTTGTCTCTTTTAATATATATATATATATATATATGATTATCGTTTGAAAAAAAAAAGAAAAGAAAGATGAAGTGTATATTACATCATCGAAAAATAATAGTGGTATATAAATTGTGTAATGCCTAAACTATGGAGATGGGAAGGGTGGACCAAAGGGGAGGCAGCTGAATAATTCGGATATGTACTGCATCAATACGTTTGAAAATATGCACGTGTCTCTCCCTAATAAGTGCTTTTTAATGAATACCCAAGCACCACATTATCTTTTTCTTTTCTTTTCTTTTATTTTTATCTTGGTGCACTCGGACCCTTGACTAAAGCAAAGTAGATGGTAATTTACATCAACGTAAGATTACACGATACAAATTTATCTTAAAGGGGGTTTAATTACCTTCTATTGGTTCCTTCTACTTGAATTACAATGTGCAATGTTCTTTGGAGAAGATAAATAAACGAAAAAAAAAAAAAAGACAACGCTTTAGGCCGGTGGAATTACGTACTACAAATTATGCTTAGTTCATGGAAGAGGAACACATAATGGAAATGGTAGCATAATTGGAAGCAACTAATGTGAGCAACACTGAAGAATATACTTACTATAGTTTATAAGTATCTAACGCGTCATCCCTTTAATTAATTGTAGATATTATCCATATACCCTGGCCGGAATTCTAAGACCTTCCTTTTGAAGATCCTCTTTGTTTAATTAATTAATTAATTAATTAATCACCAAATCAACAAAGCGATACAACTGAAATGCATGGGCTACATATGTTACTACTAGCTGATATTATTCACAGTTAATTATAAATTGTCAGTATGATTATTGGCTCAACACTTGTGGCGTAGCTCCAATGGCGTACAATTTGCTGAATGTCTAGCTTTTTAAACAAGCAATTTCATAATTTTTATTTCAGGTGTATTCCCAGCAAGGTTTTCTCTTTTTTTTTTTCAAATAAAAAATCATACATCCTATTCTATTTTCAAGAAAAAAATATGAAGCAGTCAATAACATGATCAACTACTACTACTAGATCAAATTTGAGATTTTAATTATTTCCTGTGAATATGCAGATGCAGTCACTGTCACGATTAATTACATAAATTTGGTACATCAACATAAATATAATTAACTCCTCATTTTCTTTACTCTTTTTCTAGTTTTTCTTCTTCTTCTTCTTCTTTTTTTTTTTTAATAAAAAATTGCAATAGGTTAGGTATCCCATCGTAGACAGTCGCTTCTGTTTGTCGAACACTAAAAAATTTAATAAGAGTTATTCCGTCCAATATATCATTTAAAATGTACATATTTAAATTAAATTAACTTTTAATTTGTATTTTATAAATATATAAATAAAACCTTAAGGAGTACATCAATTGCAAAACATTCTCTAGTGTTGGTTATAGAAATTAGGGGAACTTCAAAGTGTCCTTGTCACCGAGCGTTTGGTCCATCCAATGACTTCGAAATATTACAAACAAAGACGAAAACCATAACTAGATAGAAAATAAAATTAAATTAAAATTTAGTCAATTGTTTACTTCCTCACGGAAGGGGAGCGAATTATTTTAAGTTTAACTTGGCCAAGTGTGACATTAACTGCACCTACTTCCCGCCGGTCCAAGTTAATTGACCAACACCATACTTCACATTACTAAAATAATAATTACGTTTAGTTTTCCTTTTTTCCGGGAAAAAAATCCATCAATGTATTCTCATATTCATTAAAAAAAAAATTAATACAATTGAGCGATACAAATACCTGGAGTACTATCAAACAATTACATTACGAGATACTCTCTCCGTCCCAAAATTATTATCCAGTTTGAAATTTTATTTTTAGTACAATTTGAATTGAAAATGAAAATTCAAACCGGCTAATAATTATGGAACGGAAGAAATATAAAATACCAGACACGTCATGGCTGTGCCATATGCCCTTTAAATGGGGCTGAAATTTTTATCAGAGTTCATCTGCAATAAGTAATCATTCCAGTTCCAGTACGGGATTAAAAATTTTGGACTTAGAAAATTATTTCATTTGCAAGATGAAGCGCTTTTATGTGCCATTTGAATCTTCTTGCCAATTTCCTGTTTCTCTAATTGTCAGCTAGACTTTTAAAAAATTGCTCTCCACGGTAGAAAAACGAAGATTGGGTGGCAGGAGAGGATATATATATCTTATTATATTAGAAACAAAAACCACACTTAAGAGAAATTATCATCATTTGTCATGTGGCATTTTCACATCATATTTTTAAAATAAATTTTTATTACCACATCTCCTAAATTTAAAAGGCAAATGCAGTCTAAATTCACTTCCACCTCCTATTTTCGTCAAAACAAACAAACAAAAAAAAAACCACGGGTCCATAAAAAACCCAAATCTTCATCCTCATCTTCACGAAAATCGACTCCTTAATCAATCCTTTCTTCACAATTAAAAAAAAAAAAAACAAATTCCTCATCAATCATCAATTGAGAATATATGCTGAAATATACTCCTTTCCTATTAGCATGTTCAATCTTTTCATTAGTGATGATCAACTACATCTTAATCGAATAAAATTTGAACTACAAAAAATATTCTCTTTACCTCTTTATATAAATACAAAGAAAAAAAAAATTCCCATTGATCTTGCTTCGGCCGTTGTGGTGGTGCCATTACAGGTATTAAAAATTAAATGATTTTATTTCCACAGATCATTGATTTGGCTTTTATTATTTTTTGTTTTTCCAGTTCAAGAATAGTGTGATTACTATTATTTTTATGCGCCCATTCGTTACAGCTACCGTAGCCGTTGTCAGGTAGTATGATGTGATTTTTTATTTGGTTAGTTAGCCTAGAATTTTTGTATGATTTTAGGTATGTTTGGATTGAATTGATTGATTGGGTTTTTGTTACAAACTGTGGTTCTTTAAATTTATTTTTTTATGTTTCATTCAATTAAAGTGATTTTCTTTTTTAAATTATGGAGTCTCAGGTTTCTTTTTCGTATATGGCCAATTATGAAGTGTGTTTTTTCTTTGTTTAATTGCTTTTGATTTTGTTTCATACTCCCAATTGACCAATTATTATTATTATTATTATTATTATTATTATTATTATTATTATTTTATTTACAAATGAAGCATGTTTCTTTTTTTGTGTTCGGGATTTCAAGAATATACTTTTTTGGATTTGGTTTTTGAACTTCTTTTTAGTTCCTCATCATATAAATAGTTCAGGTCGCTTCTTTTAACTAATTTATGGAGAATCTTTTTATGAATTTGAGGTGGAGAGGAAAGGAATGATGTTTCTACGTTTATTTGTGTTTTTATATATCATTTTTACCTACAGAAAAAAAATAAAAATTCTCAAATTTTAATGGGCTATCTTTTACTTTTTTTTTTTTATTTGCTATGGTGAGGTGAGTTCTTTTTTGCTATATCTTGAAACCTATGCAAATTTATATTATTTTCATTCTCATATTTGTGATCAACCAGTTTCAATAATGAACCAGTTTTAAAATCATATTTTTGATATTTTACTACCTATAAACTTTTGGAAGAGATAGTTCCAACAATTAAGCGTATACCCTTTGGAGGAAGCTAACTACAAAGTTATTATAAATCTCCAAAACTAAGTATTGATTTGGCACAACCAATGGAGAACATCAATAAATTATCTTACTAATATTTAAACTTATTAGGATGCTTTTATATTTTGTCTAGCATTTACTTCAAGACATATATTTGATCAAGTTTATTTATATTTAAGAAGTAACACTTATAAAATATTTCTAAAATCTTCAAACATTTCTAAAACGTACCGGGCCAAATACAATTTATTTTTTTGCCAAATACAAACATCACACTTATAAAATATTTCTAAAATTCTACAAATATTTCTAAAATATATCGGGCCAAATACAAAATATTTTTTTTTTCAAATACAAATATTGCTAAGATCTACAAATATATCGAGCCAGACATCACTAGTTATTAATATAAGTAGGTTACAATCAAAATCTCGTTTAAGCATTTTATGTCATTGAGAAAAAATCGGAGAAACGGCTGACCAAAGTCTCTCCCTGTGAAGGTTGGTATGAAAGCAGTGGCGGCCCCTGGCCTCTACCGCCCCACCCTAAACCTTTATTATATGTTTTTACTTTTTTTAATTATAAATGTAGTTATATTTAAATTTGTTGTTTTAATAGTTATATTTTAATTTGGACTCAAAATGTAATTTCTACTTCATTTTCTCTTAATTTGGGTTTATTGCGCGTATAAAAAAAATTTTAAAGTCGCAATAACCTCATTTTGTTATGTTTGGTCATGATTTTATAAGTAATATTGACAATGATAATGATGTAAAAATTTAATTTGTTCTGTATAATAAAGGATCTAAAACTTTAATCACTAGCAAAATTTTTCTCATATCATAAATTATATCTTCATTTGTGCAAGTGCTCTCTGTCTGCTGTGTATATGTTTACAAAATTATATTTAATTAACAAAAAATAAATAGTTTTGAATATGCATGGATTTTAACTACAATGGAAATGAGAATTTTATTGATCAAAATAATGAAAAATCTTCCTATAAACTAAGTGCAATACTTACAAAAATTTTTTAAAAAGTTTGTCAAAATATTAGTTATATTATCAATTAATGTAGTTACAGTCGGCCCCCACTATATTTTCTGTCTAGACCACTACTGTATGAAAGTTTGATATTTTTAAGGCTAATCCAATCCTTAGTTATGATTCTGGGTTAGGAAATGTTGGTTATGTTTTGCTTTAATTAAAAAAAAAGAAAAACATAATAAAGGTGACAATGAAAATTTTAACATAGATGGTGCCTATTGGTCATAATTACGTGGAAAAAGGCGAAATTCAACTTAGGAAAAAAAAAAAAAAGAGAGAGAAGGAAAATTAGAAAACAACTGAAGAACGAGGTACTAAGCTGAAAACTTTTGGATTA